TATTGTTTCAGGACATGTCCAAAGCATTCGACAAGATCAACATTAATCGTCTACAAGATGCCTGCCGCAGGATAGGCGATAGATCAGATAAAGATCTAAAATAACTGCTTGAGAGAATTTTAAATTGGTTATTGAAATTTTACAAAAAAATAATGAAAATTCATAATAAAAAGTATGAAAACATTTGAGCAATACTTTATTCACTATAATTTTTATAAGTCAGCGCAAAAAAAAAGGTGGTTCGGAGCAAAAAGTTTTTTGTTCATTTTTTACTATTTAAACTTTTTTCTTTTATGCAATAACTACCTTACTTATCTTAATGACAAGCTTGATTGATTGATTAAAAATGCTTTATTAATTAAAATTTAATTCCCGACACATTTTCAACATACTTTGACCTATTAATTGAGGCGCTTGAGAACGCTCTTAATAAATGGTGATTTTTTTTAAATAAGAGTACTCTCATCAATGCGATTAGCTATCGTGAACAAGCATTATAATTTATCGAGGCAATCTTTACGGCAATCTTGCTGAAGGTTCATAATGCAAAATGCGAATCTTAAATTTTAGTCAATAGACACAACTCTATGATAAAAAAGATCGTCTTTTTTTCATTGCGATGACGAGCTCACTTGATTGTCCGAATTTCCACTAATTAAAAATTGAATTCCGATTTATTAATTTAGGGTGTTCTCAAGCACTTCATTCAATGGATTGGAAGTAAAATTTTAATTAGTCGAAAATTGAATAAATTAACCAAGTGAGTTACCATTTCGATGAACAAATCAGCGAGACACAACCTATCTTTTTTCTTCAAAAATTTATTATTGATAAAGGTCGCTCAAGTATTACTTTTACATTTTTTTTTACATATCAAACATAATAAATAATTAAATCTCAACAAATTTCTAACCGGCCTAAAAGATAGCCACTTTATTTTTAATGTTCGAAGCTTTTAAAACAAATAATCGATACATTAATGAGAATAATAAATACACAGTCTTTTAACGTTTAATCAAACTATAATGAATACTATTATTCCATTTTATTACTCATTTAAATTTAAAATCTTCTCAGTAAAGAAGACCTAAAACTGAAAAGTTTGGGTAGATGCTTTTATATTTTGACGGATAATAAAGAAGTTTAAATTGTTAAAATCATTAAAAGGAGCCAATGTAACTAAAATTGAAACTTTAACGGTTGATCGAAAAGAAAGTTTTGGAATTTTTTAGATAGTATAGCGAACATTCATTTAATTCTATAAATATCGTCATCAATTGTGATGCTTGAGCATCATCACAATTGATTTAGATGCTTGAGAACAGCCTTAGATACTTAAGAGCACCCTAAATTCACTTTGCACCTTAATCTTTATATCGGTTTTTGTCCGGAGTGGAGTGAAGGACTTACTGTCCAGACCACTGTCACGGGTGCCCCTGTAAAATATATAGATATTTAATTTACCTGGGGTATTTTGTAATATTCATAAAACGTGAGAGATTTATTTATACAACCAGAAAGTTTATTTTTTTGTACATAACAATAAATGAATAAGTAAATAATAAATATATTTTAACGCGAAAAAATAATCAGTAAAAAGAGAATATAAAAAGAGAATAATAAATATATTTTTAACGCGATAAAAAGTGAATACAAAAAGAGAATACAATATAAGCTTTAATATATAATGCTGAATTACTTCTGGAAGCATATACAAAAATTACATAGATAGTCTTAATTAAAATACTGTTAACCATGGTCTATATTTAATTTTTATTACCAAAATTAAACCAACTATACTATTCTAATTGTTTCTTTATTACGCCAAAATATGGTGATCGACTCATTAATTAAACAATTATAATAACTTTTATAATAACTTAGATTCTTTTAATAGATTACACGACAAATCAGCATTTAAATATAATGCAGCCTTAATTTCTCTTAAAATAATCAATAAGTTAATTTTTATTCATATCCAAATACAAAATCCTTGATGTAATTATGTATAAGAATACCTGGAAAATTGATATTAAGAAAGGATGAAATTCAAATATTTAAAAAATTTATAACTGTAAACGCAAAGAAGCCATGCAAGATATTCAACCCTTTTTTTGTTCGTTACAATTACAATTAATTATGATAATTACTTGAAAATTCTAATAATCGGGACTATATTATTTAATGATTTTATTACATAATTGTGACATTTTGAATTATTAATTTATTAAACTATATTTTTTTTATAGGTCTCTTGGTTTGGTCCAAATCTAGTGAATTTATTTGTAAGTTTGGCTCGAATTATGAAGAAAAAGAAATGCACATAAATTAAATGATAAAGATAAGTAACTCATAAAATAGTATTTTGCAATTCAAAGTAAAATTAGTAATAGAAAATAGTTTAAAAATCTAGGCTCCGGACTTCAACAGTTCCCGTTTCCTAGTATTACGTGAATTTAAGAATTTATAGAAACTGAAAATTCTTAACTATAAGCTAATGATGTTGAGCTTTAAAGAATCTTGGAAATTTCTAACTTTTCCTCCCAAACTATCTCTCATCTATATTGATAATGCCAAAAAATCATACCATACCCCTAGCATGACGTGATCTTCCGTGTAGATCAATTACGTCATGTTTCCCTTAGTTATATAAGATAAAATCAAATTTAATTTATTTGATAATCCTGTAAACATGTCGTTAAACCTTTTTAAATTTATACGCAATAAAGGTATTTACTCTGTTTTTCAAAGCTTATGAATGTTTCACATACAAAATATATTATAACACATAGTGCAAGAAAATAAAGTTCACAAACTTGCAAGGAAGTGTGGTGAAGGTACGTAGGTTAAGTTAAATTTTTTTGTAGATATGTTATAAAACTTACTTGATACTTTTACGTTAGTTCCTGAAAATCTTCCTACTATTCTTCAAAATCCCGAAATTGCTGCTCTTGTTTTAAAATATCTTAAAGGAGACGACGAAATGCCGGCACTTGTAATCGGTTGGAATGACGCTGGATTTAATGATACTGCCACTCCAAATTTACATAATGGTGTTGCGGGACAAACCAAAGCAGCTATAATTGCAGATTTGATTGCAGGTGGTGCAATTGATTTTCAAAATCATAACATTTTGTTTATATTTCGAAGTGATATCGCATTTGGGAGTTGGGCCGAAAATGTTGAAACAAACTTGCGTTGGTATGGAACTATTACTTATATTTTAGTTTCTTTAGCATTGGCTCAATTCTATTATTCTTTTTCAAAAAGGGCAAAAAATCAAGCTGGCGTTCCCAATGTCTATAATGCGGTTATAAGAATCAATAAAGTGTCACCAAGTACAGGTGCTGTGGGTATACATGTTGGCAAAATCCCAAATTACTATATTTGGGATTTGTCCACGCCCAAATCCCAAATTCATCCCAAATTAATTTCTCAAAAACTTTATTAATAATTTTTGTTTAAACAAATAGTAGATATTTTTATTGCTATAAATAATATATTTACAAAATATTAAGACTACTTTTTTTATTTAATCATTTACAAATAGCAATTGTTTTTTTTGAATTTGGGATTTGTCCGGGTTTTGCCAGCAAGTATAGCTGTGGGACTTGAACCATATTCCATTAATATTTGAAATTTTAATCAAAAAATCACCTTTATTGTGAAGCACCTCAAAGATTTTAAATTTGCATTTCTTATAATAGAATTTTGGCAAAATTGTTATAGGAATTAATAGTGCATCATCTTAATCGCTACTGTATAAATTACATTTAGAACAAGTTGCTTGCATATAGCAATATTTGTTAGTGTTTACTACGTTTATTGTTCCTTATAACTAAATAATTATTAAGTAAATTAAATGTTACTGAACCAAATATTTTTATTACGCACAAACAATAAATTATAAAAAAGTTCACAAACCTATCACAAGGAAAGCCATATAAACAACAATTACGTACATTATCCCTTGCATGATTAATTTTAATAACGTAAGTTGTCTAAATAACATGCTTTGTATACTTTAAAGTATTTAAGAATACAGTACAATGCTTCACTAATAAAATTATCATAAAAATTGTTTCTGGCTTTAACATTCGTTGTACATAAACTGACGAACTTAAGAAGGCCGTTGCTTTACTATTACTATGTATATTTAATAACTACTGTATATTAAAATCAAAATTTTCTTATAAACCTATTCCTAGAATTTTAATAAAATAAAATAGGTCAGGCCATTTTGCAATTGTTCTACCCTAACCTTAGCTCAAATATCGACTCTTAACTAGTGCACTGAATTGAAAATTTTCCAATTAAAGGGTAAATATTTAATTTTAAATACACTTATACGTAATTAATTTTATGTGCGATGCCAAACTGACTTAATCAGAGCACTAACTTCTTAAATAAATATGAATGATTTTTGTATGCTTCTTTACATTATCAAAATAAATAATTGAACTTATACCAAAACTCATTTGAGCTTGCCTAATTACTAAAAAAATACTAGTCGCTTCTAAGTTATTTCGGTCGATTTCTGTTATTGTCCATTTATATGAAAGTATGATTGATTGTGATGAAACTTTCTATAAAAAAGAATATAATGATGACTTTAACAAATTTTCCAGTTTTTATAAATTAAAATTGGCGGATAAAAATACGAAGTACTTGATACGAAATGAAAAGAAACGATGAGCTTTTTATTTACATCAATGAAGATTTTGCTTATTTTATATAAACTTTATACTGTAGATGTTTAAATTAATTTACCTTATTGAACTGATTTATTTGCTAATTTACATGCATATGGAATTAATCAGGTCATTAAAATGTTTATTTCACGATTATTCAGATGAACCTCCTAGTATCGCTCAATTGTGTATCAGGATATTTAAATTAAATAATAATACATATCATGCTTCAAAAACTAAATTATATATCTATCTTAATATAATAAAATATTCAATTTCTGCTTAAATCAAAGTGGATTCAAATTGAATTAATTCCGAATCAATAAATGTTTCGTATTCATGTGTAAACATATATATTGTTAGATACTAAATAAATTTGGTCAGTTCAAATAATATATAATGTTGTACGAACTTAGAAATTTATTAAAAATGAAATCATATATATATATACTATGGTAGGATAAAATTATTGAAATAAATACTGTACATGAACTTTTGATGACATTTATACTCTAAGAAACAGCTAATAGTTAAATCTAAAACAAACTAAATTTACATTATACAATTTTTCTAATTATATTTTATATATCATTCATTAATATTTAATTCATTATTATTTAATTCATTATTATTTAATTCATTAATACTTAATTCATTAATATTTAATTCATTAATATTTAATTCATTAATATTTAATTCATTAATATTCAATTCATTAATATTCAATTCATTAATATTCAATTCATTAATATTAAATTCATTGATATTCAATTCTTTCAATTCACTATCTGTTAAATAATTATAATTAGTATTAAAAACAATTCTTATTTATTATAAAATAATAAATATAGATACCTTGATAAAATGATTTAGTATAACTAATAAATTTACTTTTATAAATATCTTCAGAATATTTCTTTAAATGTGTATTTTTATAAATATCATCAGGATATGTCTTTATATGAGTACTTTTAATATTTTTTAACACTTTATATGATTTAGTTAGTTCTAATAAAACATTTTCGTCATTCATCCATTCAAGGATTTCACAGATTTTTATTGATGATGGACGGTTTACTGCTTCACTTTCCCAACATCTCTTCATTAAATTTATATAACATTGTGGCATGTTCCCAATAATTATTGACCGCAAATTATTGCGGCATATTTCAATTTGAAGCCGTTGTCCAAATTTTCGATTAAAAGATACAGGTTTTCCATATAATATTTCCCACATAATAATGCCAAATGAATAAATATCCGATGCTGTTGAATAATAACCACTTTCTAAAGCTTCTGGTGCTATATACGGTAAAATTCCGTAAATTCCATGTTTTTCTGCATTTAATGATATATTTGCTGATATGGAAAGCCCCAAATCTGCAATATAAGCACTATGTAAATAATCTTGTAGAATATTACCACTATGCAAATCTCGGTGAATAAGTTCTTGGGAATGAATTATCTGAAGATCTGAAGCGATACAATGTAATAATATTAATTTATCTTTCCACTTAATTTTCGCTATAGAACGAAGATTTTGACGTAATGAACCCATTGAAGCATATTTAAGAACTAGGATATAATCGCCAGAATTGTTTTTTGATATTCCATGGCATTTTAAAAATGAAGGATGTTTAGAACAAATATCACAATATGCCTTTAACTTTAATGTTAAATTACAAAAAATAAGTACTTAAAATTTAAAATTAATTAAAGAAAATAATGAACATATAAATAAATATCACCTCTTTTATAAATTCTTCGTTATAAGATTTTGATCCATCGATCAATTTGAGTGCAACGTTTCTTAAAAGGTTTTGTTCTTTATCTAGCCATCTGGCATAATATACTGTTGCAAATCCACCTTGTCCTATTTTTTCAATATCCATAAACTCTTTATATGTAATCCATGATAGTGGATATTTTCTCCCAACCAATAATTTTTTAACATCATCATCGATGTGAGAATTTTCTTTTGTCCATGCACCAATAACTAAAAAAAAAAAAAAAAAAAAAAAAAAAAACATGAGCAAATAAATTTATACTATATATAAAGTAAATTAAATAACTTTAAAAATTACCCAACATTTTATTTTTAGCCCTAATTTTATTGGAAACTGCGTGTTAAAAATTGTAATTAAGGAAAAAATTAAATAAATAAATATTTACATTTGATACCAATAGTCAGCCTTTTGTAAATCTCTCGAAACTCCAATTCCATTTCTATAACAATAACCAAGTTGAGACATTCCGTTAGTTTCCCCATCTCAGCAGCTTTTTGATAATAAAGAAATGCTTTATAATTATCTTTTTCAATCCCGATTCCATTCAGGTAACAATGTCCAACTTGTTCTATTGATTTAGCATTTCCCATCTCTGCAGATTTTTGATAATGAATAAATGCCTTATGCTTATCCTTTTTGACACCTATTCCATCTAGATAACAGCCTGCAAGATTATCTATTGCAAAAGCATTTCCCATCTCAGCAGATTTTTGATAATTGACGAATGCTCTATGTTCATCTTTTTCAACTCCTATTCCATATGTATAGCAATATCCAACTTGATTTATTGCAGCAGCATTTTCCATATCGGCAGATTTTTGATAATGGATGAATGCCTTGCGTTCATCCTTTTCAACTCCTATTCCATGCTGATAGCAATTTCCAAGGTTATTAATTCCGCTAGCATTTCCCATTTCGGCAGATTTTTGATAATTAATGAATGCCTTAAGTTCATCCTTTCCAACCCCTATTCCGTGTCGATAGCAATATCCTAGGCCATTTACTGCATTAGAATTTCCCATCTCTGCAGATTTTTGATAATTAACAAATGCCTTATGTTTATCCTTTTTGACTCCTATTCCATATTGATAACAATTCGCGAGATTATATATCGCGGATGCATTTTCTATCTCAGCAGATTTTTGATAATTAACGAATGCCTTATGTTCATCTTTTTCAATTCCTATTCCATATTGATAGCAATATCCAAGGCCAACTATTGCATTGGAATTTCCCATTTCCGCAGATTTTTGATAATTGATGAATGCATTGTGTTCATCTTTTTCAATTCCTCTCCCATAAAAATAGCAGTCTGCAAGTTCATATATTCCTTTAGAATTTCCCATCTCGGCAGATTTCTGAAAGTGAATGAATGCCTTATGTTTATCCTTTTCAACCCCTATTCCATGTTGATAGCAATATCCTAGGCCATTTACTGCACAAGAATTCCCCATCTCTGCAGAGTTTTGATAATGAATGAATGCCCTATGTTCATCCTTTTCCCCTATTCCATTTTTATGACAATCTGCGAGAATATTCATTCCATTAGCATTTTCCATCTCGGTAGATTTTTCAACACCTATTCCATTTCGATAACAATATTCGAGATTGATTATTGCAGAAGTGTTTCCCATTATAGCAGATTTTTGATAATAAATGAATGCCTTATGTTCATCTTTTTCAACTGCTATTCCATGTTGATGGCAATATCCAAGACTATTTATTGCATCATAATTCCCTTTTTCGGCAGATTTTTGATAACTAACAAATGCCATGTACTCATCTTTTTCAACCCCTATTCCATATAGATAGCAATATCCAAGGAAATTCATTGCATTAGAACTTCCCATTTCAGCAGATTTTTCATAATTAACGAATGCCATGCGCTCATCCTTTTCAACTCCCCTTCCATAAAAATAGGAGCATGCAAGTTCATATATCCCCTTGGCATTTCCCATCTTGGCAGATTTCTGAAAGTGAATAAATTCCTTATTTTTATCTTTTCCAACTCCGATTATATTTTGATAATTGTATCCAGAATATGATAATTTTGATTTTTTAATGGCTTTATAAATTTTCTTCATTTTCTTTTTAAATGTTAACGAAAATCCGAACCTGTATTTAAATCATTTATATGCACAATTGTACTACTTACAGAAATTTATGTCATTATTTAGATAACACAATTCAGTATTTTGTTTTGTTAGAAATTGAATTCTTTGAATTCTGTGCTAATTGTGAGTTCACTAATTCATGTCACGTTGTACTAATATA